AACAAACTAGATGAATTTAACATTTATAAAATACTATAGTGAATAATAGTTTATCAATTACTCATGAAACAATCACCAAGATAAGCTGAATTTTTGAACCACAGTACAAACAAGAGCAATTGCATAAATCTTAATTTAAAAAAATAAACAGAAGTTTTAGAACCATAATAGAACTAGTAATCAAAAATAGAAGGATATATGGGAAAAACTCTAATAATTTCAAACTGAAAAATATACATAAATATCCACTAGGTCAAAGAGGAAATCACAAAGGAATTGGGAAATATTTTGAACTGAATAAAAATAAAACCGTAACTTAAAATTCAAAATTCCCTCAGAGATTAAAAGCATATTTATAGTATTAAGTACTTACATTAGAATTTCAAAAGTCTAAGCAACCACTTCAAGAAACTATAAGACAAAGAGCAAGTAACCCAAAGTAAGTAGAAATAATGGCAGAAAAGAAATTGAGAACAACCAAAAATATAATGAAACCAAAACTCTGAATTTATAGAAAACACTAAGGAATATTGATAAATGTCACACTAGACTAACCAAGGAGAGAAGGGGGCAAAAATTATAAAAGATTAAGGAAAAATATAATGAAAACAAAACTCTGAATGTATAGAAAACACTCAGGAATATCGATAAACCTCAAACTAGACTGATGGGGGGGAGGGGCAAAAAAATGAAGGAAAAACGGTACATCAGTACAGATGCTACAGACATCAAGAGGATAATGCAATACAAAGAACAATTCTTTTTCCCACAAACTAAAAATCTAGAGAAAACAAATTCATTTAAAGGCACATGCCATTGCTCATACAAATAACCTCAAGAGTCCCAAATCTCTTAAAAATAAGAAAATTTTAAGTCTAATATCCCTCAATTGCTGTATTACTAAATTTTACTAAATACTCAAAAATATCACATTTAAATTCTTCCCAAATATAGAATAGGAAAAAATAATTCCCAATTCCTTTAATGAAGCTTGTGCTAACCCCATATCAACCAAAGGTCTAATAGCATCTCTAATGAATATGGATGCAAAAATTCCCAAGGGCTATGGAGTGTTAGAAAGGTGGTTGAGCACAGGCTTATTAAGTGCAAAACTAAGTTCATTCCTACCACAGCAAGGTCCTCCATATAATCTAAGGTAGACTGAGTTATACTCAAACAGTGCTATACCCAAACAGCACTGTATTGCTCAGATCCAAACCATCATTAGAAATAACCTCAAACCGTGGAGCTCTACTGGAGATGGAAAAAAAATCATACATGACCTTTAAAAACTCATTATTCATCAAAAAAGCATCAAAATAGCTTTGATTGACATATATTTTCTACTTTCCTGAAATTAGTACACCAAATGAATACTATACTTATCTAAGGTTCAACAATGAAAAGAGGGGGTATGGTGCAGCCAGCAGGTCAATCTATATCTGTGAGGCGAGGGCATCAGCAGCCTGATGGCTCCTTCAGACTTCCAGATGCCCAAAAATTGCTGCTGTGCCTTTGACCAGACCCCAAAAACTTGGGGCAAAGTTTTCGAAGAAAGTAAACGGCCAAAAGTTAGGTATGTGGGAGACACACCCACAAACCATTATATAGCTCAGCCATATAATTGGAGCCGTGGCCTCTCTGGTTCCTGATTGAACTACTTAATGGCCATGATCCCAGAGACCCAGAAACAAATATCAAAACCCAACAGCTTTTGGCAGAAATGCATCCGGTCCCTGCAGTAGACTACCAGTGCTGAGCCACCCCAAGTTGGAATAGGTTTTGTGCCTTGGCCTGTTCCCCCTGGCGGCCTGGTAGCCGTCATCCTCCAAAGGCCACTGGACAGTCAGGTTTGGGCCCACAGTGATGAAACACATGGGGCCTCATGGGATGAGGGTGAAGCCAGCCCTTTCCTCCCCGTGCCAATGAGACCCTGAGTTGCCGCCCACGAACAGCCTCTCTGGCTCCTGAGCAAGCTACTTAACGGCCATGATCCCAGAGACTCAGAAACAAATCTCGAAACCCAACGGCTTTTGGCAGATTTGCGTGTGGGCCACAGAGAAGGTTACTGGCTCTGGACCACCCCAGATGGTAATAGGTTTTGTGCCTTGGCCTGCTCCCCCTTGGCAGCTCGGTGGCCGCCATCTGCCAGAGACTATCAGACAGTCAGGTTTGGGCCCATAGTGACGAGACACACGGAGCCTCATGGGATGGGTGTGGAACCGGCCCTTTCCTCCCCACCCCAACAAGTCCACCCATGAATGGCCTCTCTGGCTCCTGAGCAAGCTGCTTAATGGCCATGATCCCAGAAACTCAGGAACTGATCTCGGAACCTAGCAGAAATCGCTCCAGATTTAATTGTCAAAATTTCGGAATTTCAAAATTGCGCAGCCACTACTACAACCACATGACATCATATATTATTCATGACCAGCAATCGAAAACAAATTGTCTACTGTTGCCTTTTCGGCAGATCTGAGTGTTGAGGTAAAATCCCAAATAATAATGGTGGGTCTGGTGTCGAAATGTTGAATGTGATCAAAGTATAGAGAGAGTGATTTGGAAACCACCTGCCCACTCGTAGGGGGAGGGTGTGGGATGCGGGTATACTGGGGTTTTTGGAGGTGGAGAATGGGCACTGGTGAAGGTACGGGTGTTTCATTGTACAACCGAGACTTAAACCCGAAAGCTTTGTAACTGCTCTCACGGTGATTCAATAAATAAAATTATAAAAAAAATAGGAAAAAAAGGTGGAGTCCATGCAAAATTCAATCAGCCTAATCAGTGGCTGAATAAATAGCAGTACTCCTACATTGAAAAAAAAAAAGACAACGAAAAGAAAATAATCTGGCTTGCTAAAGGACTTTATAGAAAAATCAAACCATGCCTTGATTTAATGTTTCTATTTGATTTTAATAAGGAATGGTAAAGGTAAAGGTAAAGGCCCTCCCGTTGATCGTCGATTTGCTCAAGCGGGCCCAGTAACGTCTCCATTGGAGACTTTGTTGTTACTGTGTCTGGCATATCGAATACTCTCGGTAGCTTGCCGGGCTCTCCGAGAGGGGCAGAGGAATCGAACTCAGGTCGGCCATGTTGGCCGCGTGTAAGGCGAAAGCCCTACCCGCTGTGCTATCGCTCGCAACTTTAATTTCACTAAACACAATTTGAGTAGCAAAACACTTAACTAAACCCAACATTTCAGATCCATTTCAACACTTCAGTGATAATTTTTAGTTGTGACTTGGCTTCACGTACCATTATTTGAAATATAAAATAGGAGCCCTGACTACTGCTGGGTGTGTCCCCAAAACTAAATATAAAACATAAAACTGAGCCATCATGATGGAATACTACCTATTCTATTGCATTTTGTTCTGAAGCTGATTTATTCACGGTAAGAGAAACAAGACTCCATTGACAGTGATCCTTGTATAGAAGTTCTAAATAAGGGTAAATAACTCGGAATAAACAGTTGTCTCTCAATCTACTTCATAATAAGAATATAGCCAGCTTTCATTATTGTATCAATATACTAAAGTAGAAGCACATGTCCTACTAGCTTTATATCATAAACAACTGAAGAAAAGAGCTTATACTGGGGCACAGATGGTACTTGATAAACTAATCGAATATAGCCTGCCCACAGGGCAGAGTCTGGCAAACTCCCCGTGGCGCACCAAATATGCCAAATACCAGTAACAATGATGGGTCTCATTCTCCTAAAAAGCCTTGAATATAATCTCAGGGCTAGGATGAAAGAGACATTACTGGGGCCTGCTCGAGGCAATCGACGATTAACAGGATGATGAATCAAGTATCACCTAATTTAAAAAGTATTAAGCAGGGGGATAGTATGGTGGGCAGGATGCTTGCTTTGCACACAGACAACACAGATTCGATCTTCGGAATTCCATATGGTCACTCAAGTCTCACCAGGAGTGATCTCTGAAGAGTAAGCCCAAAGCACTGCCAGATGTGGCCCAAGAGCAAACAAAAAAACAAAAACCAATAAAACAAAAAGCATCAAGCAAATGCAATTAGAATTGAGAACTGAGAGTATCTCGCCCACACGGCAGTCTGACAAGCTACCTGTGATATATTTAATATGCCAAAAACAGTAACAACAAGTCTCACAATTTGTTGTGAGACGTTACTGGTGCCTGCTCAAGCAAATCGATGAACAACAAAAGGACAGTGCTACATACTACAAAATTAGCTCAGGGAATTATAGCACTGCAATCTAAAAGAAGCAACCAATGTTTTGTGAGATTTGATAAAGGAAAAGATAATATATCCCTTATATGGTATGGAACTTTTTTTACACTATTGCAAACATGACAAACTAAAGTTTTAAAAGAAAAATATTGCCTCCAAAAATAGAAACCCTGAATCTATTCCCTTATCAAAAGTAGACTTTAAAGCTGAACTAATTAAATGGTTTGAGGTGTGTGTGTTTTATTGGTTTTTGGACCATACCTAACTGTGATCAAGACTCCTGGCTCTGTACTCAGGGGTCACTCCTATGCAGGGTTCATGGGACCTCTACTTCTACCTCTAGTACAGATCAAACCCAGATACTCGTGTGGAAAGCAAGTATCTTACCCACTGTTTTAGTTTTCTGGTTCTGATTAAACGTATTTAATTCAAATCTAGATATGAAGGATGCTCTTAGGTTAAAAATAGTCCAAAAAGTTTCTGCTTTGAAATCACCCACATTTTCTTTCTTTTTAGAGGCTGTAGAGTTTTGGGCCACACCCACTGGGACTCAGGGGATAATTCTGGCTGTGTGCTCAGGAGTGATCACTGCCGGTGTTCTGGGAACCATATGTGGTATGTGGTGGCAGGAATTCAAATCAGGCTAGAAGTCACCACAACACTAAATCCTAAAGCTTCCCAAATCACACATATTTTTAAGTACACACCGTTAGGAACTTTTTTCCCTCACACTAGATTCACAAATACATATCGCAAAATGGTCTTGGGAATATGGAACACAAATATGCTGCCTTAGAAAACTCATTTATTTATTCCATGTAAAAAACTCAAGACCAACTTTCAGAAAAATCACAAGAGAAAAGTATATATACCACCCACAAAGTTGTTTAAGCTTTATTTTTATATGCATACATGTTTTAAGGAGACAAAATTTGGAGACAGAGTGCAATATATCAAATAAAATCATCCAAAATTATTCTAATGTGTATACAAATAACAGTAAAAAGTACACATATAGGATACATATAATCTGTTACAGTTTTAAAAAGCATTCCTTTTTTTGTCTTAAAATTCTGATACCACTATCTTCTACAACATTCAAGTACAATTTTTAAGTGACTTTTTTCATAACTACTAAACACTAAATTCTGACAAGTCATGTCAGTGTAATGGAGTGTGTTTGCCACGCTCTTCAAAGTAATGCTGTTCAATTCTTCTACAGAAAGCAAAGAGGTTTGAATAGTTTTTCACCTTCTCAGAAAGTTCATCACTGGTCAACTGAGTGGTAAGAATGGTGTACAGGTGGCCAAACACAAGTGCATCTAGTTCAGTAGGCCTAAAATAAGCAGAAATGGGAGCAACATGAATAGCTTGCATAGTTTGCACAGTGGGAAAAAGACACTATTAAAAAAAATTATTCAACTATTTCAAAGAAACAACCTAAATAATAAATTCCAACTTAAAAGAATTTATTGTTTCAATTTGAAGTTTCTGTTATAAAGTTGATGAAAAACTTAAAATGATTTGCTAGCTGTATGAACAGTTTGTTAAAGTAGTAGTACCATTTAACTGTCCTCAAATAATATTGGTATAAATCTTTTCTTTTTCATTTATGTATTCACTAACTACAGCAGATCCTCAATTTGTCAGAAATTGAGGCAGATGCTAGTTACATAAAATCAAGAATACTCTAAAAAGAAACACAAAGTGCAAATGACCACAAAACAATTTATTAAGTGTTTTTAATAAAATGCTGTCAAAGCAAAAAGAATGTAGCTGAAACAACAAAATTATATATAAGAGCATGATACGTTTAATTTTTTCATTTTAAAGGTAATAGTTTTTAATATGGAGATTTCTCAACATGCAAATTTCTCAAAAAAATTAAATAAAAACCCCCTTTATGACCAAGTGATACACAACTTCTTGGCATGTATCCCCAACACACAAAAACATTATTTTGAAAGAACATATGCACAACGTGTTCACTGCTCCACTTAGTACAATAGCAAAGATATGAAAACAATCCAAATGCCCAATCACTATTCTTGATGAATGGATCAAGGAGGTATGGTGTATGTGTGTGTGTGTATGTGTGTGTGTGTGTGCGCGCGCACGCGCGCATATATGTTCCATTTCACAAAATGGAATACGACGTGGCTCTAAGAAAGAACAAGATCATATAATTTGCATCAACATGGATGGGAACTAGAGGTTATCATGCTGAGTGAAGTCAGTCAGAAGGAAGTGACAGACAGTCACAAAACCTACACTCTCAAAAGTAGGACCTAATTAGAAATTTACTGTGAGGTAGTAACAAAGGTCCAAAGCAACAATAATGGGAGATCTGATCCACACAATTGAGTTGGGAGATGGGAGGGAATAGTGTTAGGGTCCTAGGGGGAGGAAGATGGCTACAATGATGATGTAATGATGGTTTTGATGTTCGTAATATGTATGAGAAACCATTATTGTAAACCATTAATCTTATATAAAATTAAATTAGTTAAAAAGATATTTTTAAAAAGTAACAGCTTTCTGAAGGCAACATAACTATAAAGATAGCCTAAACAAAAGTTTTTTCTAATTTTTCCCATAATATATATCAACAATTAAATGAAATTTATCTACCTCACTAATGATTTATAATAAGGCATCACCAATCTACCTGTATTAAAATAATTATTAGTATAACATTACTAAAGGCAATAATGCCATTGTAATTATAAACTAATTATAGCTGTCAGTCCCACAGTAATAAAGTTTTGAAGAAACATCAACCTACCTAAATATGAAAACAAGATGCAGTAATCTGGTTTGGCAGTATTAGCTTTATTTTTTTTTAAAGTCACCAGCATTGCCAGGTGTGCTTCCCACACCCTCCCCCACAATAATAGGAAAAAATACATTATTACATTAGTGAGTCTCTTCCCAAAATACTCTGTCTTGATGAACATGAAACTCTGGAGCCGGGGACACAGTCAGTGGCAACAGAGCATATATGAAGCGCTGGATTCAACCTCCAGCACGGATTGACCCGCCCCCCCATCATCATTCATTTATTTCTTCAAATATATACTTCATCTTAAACATTAATTCCTATGCTTTAAAATATTTTCACTAATTAACTTTAAAAGTATATTTATAATAGAGTTTGTCCATCCAACAATTTTTTGTTTTATTCATTTTTCTAATCTCTGGGTATCACCCTCTGTAGGCAAGATAGTTATATTTCATATTTTAATAGTATCTGCAAAGGAAAAACTAATACTTAAAGTTCCATACACAGTGTGTTGAAATACCTTTAGTAAAACCTCTACTACATCATAAAATAATGCTGGTTTACATATCTACCTTTAAGAGAAATTCTTCATTGAAAGAATTGCACTTTAAAATCTTAAAGTCAGCCAGAATTGATAGAGTGGATAGGGTGCTTGCCTTGCAAGCGGCTGACCTGGACTTGACCCAAATATCCCAAATAGTCCCCCAAGCACCACTAGAAGTGATTACTGAATGCACAGCCGGGAGTAACCTTGGTATCACTGGATATGGCGCAAAAAACAAAAACAAATAAAATCTTATAATCTCCCATAGCCTAGCATTGTTAAACTAAAATGGCAAGAGTGTAAAAACTGAATTTAAATGAAACTTAACATTTTTTAAATACTCCTAATACTAAAATTCTCCTATAAGAAAATAGAATCGTTTTCTATTTCAACAACACAGAAAAGATACTAATACACAGATACAAATTTTCTTACTGTTTATTGAAGAAATATGGTTGTGCTCCCAATCTTTGAGAAAGAGCTTGAAAGCACTGGTCTACATCTTCCAAGACCTAATATAGGCAATAGAGCCAAAAGGGAAAACAAATATTTAAATCAGCAGAAAAATAAAATGTGTCTAAAACTTACTTTGTATTAACTCAGTTTACAATAAAAAGCACATAATTTATTGAATCTTTTATTAAATCAAAATTTCTACACATTTTCATTTCTCTTTTTATGTATCTATACACACACACCACACAAAAAAAAAAAGAAAATTTAAGAGAAATTTTCTTAAAGTCAACTATCTTAAAGTCAACTATATTTGGGCCAGAGAGACAGTACTGGGGGCAGGGTGCGCTAGTAGTTGACTTAGGTTCAATCCCCAGCACCCCATATGGTTTTCTGAGCAATGATAGGAGTGATCCTTAAGCACAGAGCCAGGAGTAAGCCTTTGAGCACTGCTCAGTATGGCCCCCAAAAAGGTAAGTTTTAGAAAAAAATAAGTAAATTCAGCTTATATTCAAGTTACTTAAGTACCATCAAGAAAGTTTCAAGGATCTAACAGACAATGAGCTGTGCATGGCGGGGGGTGGGGGTGGGGGGGGAGGATGATGCCCAAATTCAATCTGGGAACACGTGACTTCCAAACGCAGAATCAGGAGTAGACTCCAGCCCTGCAAGGTATGGCCCAGAAAACAAAAAGGCTTTATCTGGAACCACTACTTCTATTAAACAGCTTCCCTAAATCTATATGGTTATTAGTTGAATGGATAGAAATGAATGTACATATACATATAGATGCATATATGTAAAACATAAGCAGAGGAGAGCAGAGAAGTGAGGTAAGATTATCAGGGCTCTAACTCACAATTCTGAACAATTCTTTTCCCTCTATTCCCTTTGCAATAGCACAGCGGGTAAGGCATTTGCCTTGCACGCAGCCGACCCAGGTTCGATTCCTCTGCCCCTCTCAGAGAGCCCAGCAAGCTACCGAGAATCCCAACCACACGGCAGAGCCTGGCAAGCTCCCCATGGCATATCTGATATGCCAAAACCAGCAACAAGTCTCACAATAGAGATGTTACTGGTGCCCGCTCAAGCAAATCGATGAACAATGGGAGGACTGTGCTACAGTGCTATATGTAAAACATATAATCCACTCAGAATGACGACACTGCTGATCCTCCAGGAGTAAAAAGCATAGTAGTAGAGATGGATCTTTTTATTTCAGCCCAATTCCTTTCCCCAATCCCCCTTGTGGCCAATGGCACACATCAGTAAATAGTCTGGTCAGAACTAGGAAGAGCCTTGGGAAAAAGACATACTAATTAGAAGTTAATGAATCTCAACTCCTGACCTAGACAAGATCTATGTGGGTTTTTTTTTTTTTAATTTTGCTATTTCAGTAACTTTGAGAACAGAGGCAAATACATTCACTGTCATTGCCACTGTCCTCCCATTGTTCATCGATTTTCTCAAGTGGGCCCAGTAACGTCTCCATCGTGAGACTTTGTTACTGTGTTTGGCATATCGAATATATCACGAGTAGCTTTCCAGACTTTGCTGTGCGGGTGAGATACTCTAGGTAGCTTGCCGGGCTCTCAGAGAGGGGTGGAAGAACCAAACTCGTGTCAGCCATGTTGGCTGCATGCAAGGCAAACGCCCTACCTGCTGTGCTATTGCACCAGCCCAGGAAAATACATTAGGCACCATATTTAACAAGGTCTTTTTTCTTTTAAGTCCTGATATAGCAGATCTGTATTTACTGACATAAAAATTGTTCACAATGTAAATTGAACAGTGTAAAAAGCAAGTTACAGATTGGCAAATATAATATGATCTCACTCAAGGAAAATGTGCTAAAAGACATCTAAAATAATGTTCTTCCAACAGAATAGAAGCAATTTCTAGTTGATACAACTTTAGGCATTTTAAGAGCTTGCTAGTAGGGGGGAGGATAGAGTGGGGAAGTGCGAGGGCTACTGGGTTCATTGGTGGTGGAGAATGGGCACTGGTGGAGGGATGGGTACTTGATCATTGTATAACTGGAACCTAAGCACAAACCTTAAGTCTACAACTATACATCATGGTGTTTCATTAATTAAAAAAAAAAAAAGAGTTTGCTAGTAGATTCAGGAAGGGGAATATAGCTACTCTATACATATGACCCAGAAGAATGATTTGTCTGCAGGCTGGAGCAGGCGGACACTTTCCTTGCACACAGCGCACACAGAATACAGAGCCAGTAGTAAGCCAGGTGTGCACCCCACAAAAAAAAAAAATTGAAATAGCCAGGGGGCTAGAGAGAAAGTACAGTGTAGTAAGGTGCTTGCCTCACACCCTGGGGCTCAATCCCCAGCATCCTACACGGTCCCCTGAATACCACCAGGAGTAAAACCTGAGTGCAGAAGCAGAAGTGACCCCTGAACATTGTTGGATGTGACCCAAAAACCAAAAAAAAAAAAAAAAAAATCTGTCCTCATTCAGGAAAGGCCAAACTCCTTAAGTTTTGGAAAAAACGCTAGTAGGAAGGAAGGGCAGACATGGAAATCAACCCTGATAACCAATGGGATACAGATGTTCACAGTCAGATGACCCTCATATTCTACTACCTTTTTGAATTTCCCTATACTATATAACTTATAATAAGCATGAATAATCTTTAAAAAACAAAAGTACTTTGTGTTGAAACTGAGTGTTAAAAGATATTATATATACATACATATATATATATATATATATATATATAGAGAGAGAGAGAGAGAGAGAGAGAGAGAGAGCAATAGCACAATGGTAGGGCATTTGCCTTCCATGCAGCCTACCCGGCCGACAACCCAGATACCCAGATTCGATTCCTCTGCCCCTCTCGGAGAGCCCGGCAAGCTACCGAGAGTAGAGTATCTCACCAGCACAGCAAAGCCTGGCAAGCTACCCATGGCATATTTGATATGCCAAACGCACTAACAACAAGTCTCACAATGGAGATGTTACTGGGCCCGCTCGAACAAATCGATGAACAACAGGGGGCAGTGCTACAGAGCTAACCTTTCAGTATCTGTATTGCAAACCATAATGTCTAAAAAGGTCGGGGGGGGGGGGGGTGGGGGGGAGAGAAACAGAGCGAGAGAGCGAGCGAGCGAGAGAGCGAGAGAGTGAGCGAGAGAGCAAGCGAGCAAGAGAGGGAGGAGGAGGAGGAGGAAGAGGAAGAAGAGGAAGAAGAAGAGGAAGAAGAAGAGGAAGAAGAGGAGGAAGAAGAGGAGGAAGAAGAGGAAGAGGAAGAGGAGGAAGAAGAGGAAGAGGAAGCAGAAGCGGAAGCAGCAGCGGCGGAGGTGAAGGGGTTGGGAAGGGAACTGGGGACACTGGTGGGGTGGTGGGAAATGTACACTGGTTGAAGGCATGGGACTGAAACCCAATATGAGCAACTTTGTAATTGTGTATCTCAGTAATTCAATTAAGAAGGAAACTTTAAAAAGGACCTTATATTAGAGAAACTAAGAATGATTATTTTTTCATTCATTTTTATTATGTTGGGGTTTTTAAAAATCTATCAGTCCCCCAAAATGAATTTCTTTATGCACTAAAATCACCAACTTTAGTCTGAACTGACCTGGTCCAGAGTCTTGTTACCCCATCCAATAGCTTTCATCTTACGTTTAACTTCCCACCGTTTCTGATAGGCCAAAATATGATTCAGAGGCCAAGGGTAAGGAGATCCATATCTAGCAAGAGTGATCTAAAGAGAAAAGGTTTTGTTTAAAAATGTGATTCTTCTCAAAACAAAGCCATTTTTTATAAACAGAAATCTAAGAGAAATATATTTTCAAAGAACATAAATACAGCTATGTGAAAAAAAATACATAGCTTGCAATTTAAAAAATTAAAATTTTAAACCATTCCCTTTAAAAATATATAAACTTTTATGTACTTTGCAACCAGTTATATCAAACAATGACACATAGCTTCCCTAAAATGTATGTGCAAGCAAAATTAAAGTAAGTGAAAAACTATATCACTAATGGTATAAACCACAATGTTTCATTTATGAGCAGGGACTTACAATTCTGAGCAAAAGTGTTTTCTCATTAAATTTTAATTAAGATAAATGCTGCTGAACCACTCACCTCCCCTACTGTAGCTTCATCACACCACTGAAGATACAACTAGGAACAAAGGAACAGTCACTAAAACTTTAGAATACCAAAGAGAAAACAGATTAAAAAAAAAAGTTATCTCTTTCTATAGTAATTTTTTATAAAACGCCAATATAAAAAGCACCTATGTGAGGGTTGGTTTTCTTTAAAGTTACTATACAGCTCATGAAATTTAATGGTGATACTTAATAATTCTTATTTGCACAGTACATATCTAAATACCATGAAGATATACAGATATTATTAAATTAAGTAAAGTTTACAAGGCCAAAGTAAAATAATAAGTGAGTAAAAAACATTCCTGTTTATAAACAGAAAAACTAGAACTGAAAATATTGTTCTAAAATAATAATTAAATAATTCAAGTAACCATCTCAGCCCCAGTCTTGCTCAATTATTTACCAATTTTTCAGTTACTCTAAAATAACTTGTTAGAAAGATTATCTTTTATCAGAATAAAACTCACTTTAAGCTTTATTATATATCAGAATATTAGATATCACATACTATACCTCTGCGGTCAACAGCATATTGTTGACTAATTCCATGTAGGCTTTCATTTCTGCTTTCTGAACTTCATCCAGCCCATCACTAAGAGAATGACCCTAGAGGGAATTAAAAAAAAATTTAAGTATACCATATTAAAAAATCAAAAACTTTCAGTGATTATCTACCAAGTAATATAACATCAATGCTATTACTTCAAATGTTCGATGGGTTAATAAAAAAATGTCTTATAATAAAATTATTTTATTTTCAAGTATAAATAATATTCAGCCTGACATCACTATAAAATATTAAGTGGTTTCCCCTCCCCCCCATCTCTTTTCTCTGTCTCTGTCGTTCTGTTTCTAGGTCACAACTGGTACTGCTTAGGGGCTACTCCCAGGTCTATACTTAGAGGTTGCTCCTGGCAGTGCTCAGGGACCATGCAGTGCTAGGGATTGAACACAGACCTCCGGGATGCAAAGCATGTGCTCAGCATATTGAGTCATCTTTCTGGCAGTAAAAATTTTTTTTTCAATAAACAAAATTACACAATCATACTGCCTCCCTCATCCAAAAAAAAAAAATGGCCAGTAAACCTTCTTTACTAAAGTTATTAGTAATGAAATAAGGCTAAAAATTAACATGTTGTGGCTTTTAATGTGGTCAAAGATGTTAAAATGCGAATAAAATTATAGTAAATACTAACAGATATCCTATAATACTGCAATGTCACTCCTAGTAATTGAATTTATCCTATGAAGTCATTTTGACAAGCGTAAAAAGGTTATGTACATTATTTATTCTACCACGTAATAACAGCAAAACACTGATAGAAACTTAAGTATTCATCAATAATAACTTACATAAATAATTATGTATATAACAGAACACAATACAATAATCTTAAAGGATTATCATGTTTTGTTTTATTTTTGGACCACACCTAGAAGTGCTCATGGCTTACTCTTTGCTCTGCACTCAAGAATCACTTCTGGCAGTGCTCAGGACCATATAGGGTGCCGGATATCAAACCTAGTCAAACACATGTAAGGCACACTTCCTAACTGATCTACTAGTCCTCCAGCCCCTTAAGTAGGATTATTTTTACCTACATATGTGTAGCTAGCATGAAAGAATGGAAGAATTTCCAAACATACTGATGATTTTAAAAGGCTTGTTGCAAAATAACAGATAGCCATCTTAGACATATTATTTATGCTAAGAGAAGTTTCTGGTAGTTCCTCAAAAGGTTAACAAGTTTTGTTTTTTGATAACTAATGAAAAGAAGACTAATTCAAATGGATAAACAGGCATTCAATTGCTAAACATTCTATATCTCTCTTCTCAAAGATTAATATTTTGAACAACATAAGAATTTTCTTTGGAGAATAATTTCATAAGCATAAGCTAGAAAACTACCATTTTGTAAAGATTTTCCTTTATTCTTTTTCCCACTAATATAATGGGGGGAGGGGGCAGAATAGGTAAAGTCAATACAAATGTTGAAATACATTAAAGAATGATGATGACTTATTTAAGATAACTATAATCAAATACATTTAATATCTTTATTACCTTGGCTTTAACAAATTGGACTATTGGACCAAGTTCTGACACAACCTGATTTCCTACATGAATAAAAGGTACTTTACCTGTTTGGAGAGAGAAAATCAAAACATATAAACACATGTGAAATACTTTTAGTAAATTAAAGTTTGTTCTAATGAATGAAGATACAAATTGGAATATGTATTATGAGTAAAAGGTTTCATAAAACAAAGACTTGAAAAGCATAGTTACATATATGTCAAAATCCATATATGACTAAACACCTGACTACAAACTAAAATGAAAAAAGAAAAAGGTTCATTCTAAAGATTTCACTTGACTTGGATATACAAACATTACATTCTTTTCAAACTTAAGACTAATAAATTATTATACAGTGGTGCATACTAATTATTCCTATTACACAAACTAATCACAGACATTGGTTCATGAATACTGACATGAACAATTGACAGATTTTTAAGAAGTACAGCAGGACTTTTCCTCCAAGTAAAATTAATTGAGCTACATTATAAACTACATTAAGGAGTCCTCTTTTTATATCTTCTAATTTTAAATATCAGATACCTAATAAGGTGAATTTTAATCATATGAAAGTTCATTAATTAATGTTTTTGGTTCAACGATATCAGGAATTAAGATACTGCCAATCTTTGAAGTTTTGCTAATTTATAAATTATAACACCAGGTAAATTCTCAACATGTTATAAGAAAAAGACAAAATCTGGCTTCTAATATGTTTACAAAATCTGGCTTCTCTAAACAAAGGCCATGTTAAAAATTTAGTATTTTACATTCACAAGTATTAAGATTTGATTAAATTATCAAGTGATGTCAAGAACAAAATAATCTTCAAATAAAGTTTCTCTCCAAATGATAGAGATGAAACTATCAGACCTAGTTCAATGGAGTTCACACTAACAGCAGGCTTCTTCCTGGCTCTTTTCAATAGACTTGCTCCTCCAGCTCAACTTTAGAGTAAAAGATGAGGTACAGAGCACCCAACAAAAGCTTCTTCTGCATCCATAGGACAACATGCATTAAAAAGGAAAGGCAGGCCTTTTGGAACTCAAAAAACTCAACAGATGTGTTTAGAAGGCATTCCCATGTTACCAATATACCAATATAAAACACTGAATTCCATCCCCTTTCTTTCTCTGCTTTTTAAAGCTGGTGTGGAGGAGGGGGAAAAAGCATTTATTCTCTAGATAAGCATTATGCAATAAATATTTTTGTAACCACCATAAATCTAGAAATAGTACAGATTTACTGGGTGTAAATAAAACAAAAGAAAAATATTTGTGATGAGGGCCTAAACCAAAAACTGTTTGGGGCATATGGCATTTTAAGAATATTTATCATTTTTAATAATCAGTTGGTGGTCTTGGAAAAATTTGTTTTTTTCCTTAAAAATTCTTGGATCACTGTAGACTATGAAGCAGTGAAATAGTATGGACAACCAGCTGTGTAATCAATTCTCTAAATAAAAAGACATTAATGCAACAAATTAGAAGGAATAATTCTGTCATCATCTTTACCTAAGTGGAGCTAACGCTATATCCTCACTAGATCAGGTATTAGGCAAAAGCATAGAAAGACCGTTATTTTATGGTTCCTGAGGGCCTGGTAGAGTCTGGTCTCTCATCTTATTAGATGAGAGAATAATAATTTTTAGATCTCTGAAGGAAGCAAGATGCTACCAAGCAGTTTATAAATAGAGAATATTTAAAAAAGAAAGAAGTCTATGAATGACATATAATTCAACCTCCTTATATTACTGATAAAGTAACAGAAGTTCAAAGAAGAGCTTTTGGGGGAAAAGCAGCTGAACTAATAAACTCTCTTATCATTTGTCAAAAACATTACCATTAATATTTGATTATCACCTTATGTATGTACATGTATACTCTTTTATGACTACATAGGAAAAAAGAATATAACGCAATATTATTCATTTCAGTAGAATTCAGGAAAATTATAAAACTAATAGATAAAAGTAAGACCGAATGGGTTAACAAATGGCTTTCAATAATTTAAAATATGACAGTTCAAAGGTCTAGGAACTGCAGTATTTTAAATATATACAAACCTGTAAATGCAGATATATTCATATACTTCAGAGTATGAAGAGGATAGATAACTTCACAAATTGACAATTTTTAACAAAGAAATTTAGATGAAAAGCACTTTAACACATTATTACTATTATCACTCCAATAAAGAGATAGAGAAATGTCTGCTTATAAATCAATAACATGCTTATTAGATAGGGCCAACAAATTCATTCAAAAAGAAATGGTTCATGTGCTGTTTTATGTTTTGGCTCTAGAAAAACCATAATTCTAATATTCCATATCAATCCTACATAACCCTTTTATCAGTTTTGTGGCACTGTATTTTTGTATTAAAAATAGAGTATTTATCAAAACTGTACTTTAATCTACTGCATGATACACAGACAATAATGAAAAAAATCATAAGGGTTAAAATTTTATTTGAGGGGCTGGAGTGATAGCACGGCGGGTAGGGCGTTCGTCTTGCACGCAGCCAACCCAGGTTCGATTCCCAGCATCCCATATGGTCCCCTGAGCATTGCCAGGGGTAGTTCCTGGGTGCAGAGCCAGGAGTAACTCCTGTGCATCGCCGGGTGTGACCCAAAAGGCAAAAGAAAAAAAAATTTTATTTGAAATATCAAAAATGTGTCAACAAAATTTTAAAGAGTAATTAGAAACCAAATATACTCAGTGATGATATCAACAACTTTTGATTCAATAATCTTCCTTTTTTGAGCTAGATAATGAGAATATAATTTAGAGATAATGAATGACTCATTAATATTAAAATTTGTTCTGAGTAGTCCTATGTAAAAAAGACTAATGAAAGAAAAGATTTTGTATTTTCTTAATATTTACTTGAATTCTTCTATTTTTAATACTTTAGGTGACAGGGTCAAAACAGTGTTGAAGTTTCTGGGAATGATACACTAAGTCATGACACAGTTCTGCCACCCTCCCCCCAGCCACCAACTTATGTCAACCTATGCTCTTTCCCTCTCACTCTGCCCCCATTATTTGTTGGCAGTGATAGTTTGAGGACATACTAAGGGAAGTAACAATTTACAACACTTAGTATTTAAAACAATCCTTTTAACAGTTTAGTAACCATCACTGACCAGACTTAACTAGCCATGTCTATCCCAAAATTGCCAAAGTTTGCACGTGTTACTTTAGAAAACCATGTAAAAATTCCTCAAGTGGCAATCCCCACACACACCCCAACAAAAGGAAGCATTTTTAAATGTAAATACAAAATAGACCAGTATTACTATTTCATCAATGCAATAAATATTAACTGCAGGGTCAAGGGGAGGGGGAGGAAGCACTTACCTGATGGAGACATATATTCAGCATTTGCCCTACAAACCACTTTGATCGGAAGATTACACATTTGCAAGAAGGCCTGTAAATCAAGAAAAATACACTAAATCTGAAATATGTAATATGAAAGTATTTGTATTTTTGAACATAACTTTTTATTCTTTTCTAAATCATAAACATCAAAACCCTTGGAAAAGAATAAATCAATTTAAGATCAAAGTTTGTCCTTTCATTTCCTAAAGTATGATTTAAACAGCAGTAACTATATATGGGAAAACTATGACTTATCCACTGCTTATGCAAGATTACAGAACTATATTACAATTCTACTTTGATTTTCCTATCAGATGACTAAAGTTCAACCATATTTATTTTATATATATTTGTTAATTCCACTACCTTTTACAAGATTACCATCTTGTCTCAAAGGGAAATGCTCAAATGTTAAACCAAACAAATTGTTTTCAGAATCTTGGGAATGTAAATGAGTGCAGTTACCACAAGAAAACAGTAATGAAACTACTTAAGTTATAACAAAAAATACCATTTGATCCAGTTACTCCACTTTCAGATTTTTACCCAAAAGTAAAAATACTAACTCAAGAGCAATACTATTTACAATAGCCAAGACAGGAAACAAATTAAATTGTCCACAAATAGTGATAAAGATACATATATACACAATGAATTACTACTCAGCTAGGAAAAGAATGAAGCATCTCCATCTGTAATAATGGGTATCTTCCCTGTCTAAAAATATTAGTCTAAATGAAACAAATCAAATGGGGAAAGTCAAATATGGTATTATTTCACTCACAAGTAGACTATAAAGAAACAAATGAACAAACAAAAACAAAACTCTTAAGAAGAACTGATTGGTGGCTCTCCCAAGAAAAATGTAGTTCAGAATATAGTAATAGAATATTCACCTACCATTCCTTAATTTGCTATTTTATTCCTTAATTTGCTTATATTAAACTAACATTGACAAAGTAGAATGAAGCAAAGCTTAAAATATCAGATCATATAAATGATTTCTAACTGAACTGTACAAAATGAACAATAGTCACCTGTCATTATTAAAGTAAAATTTTAATTAACTGAAGTTGAGAAAAATCTTAAACGATGGCTCAGTGTGGGGCCTGGGTTTGCTCCCCACTGCTGATCACATGCACTGAGCATATTCCAAGCAGTCCTGCGATGCCTCACAGAATGTGCCATGTTCAGTGCATAGCCAGCAATGTACGAGGTGCACCACAGCAAGATGTGCAGCTCCCTAGAGAGGACTACAACCAGAATGTGCTCACGGAACAAAGCTAAAAAAGTGCAAGACGCAGCGAACACCACAGCCAAGCATATGTACAACTCCACTCATGGCAACAACAAAGTGGAAGTTTTGCTGAATTCAGTTCTCTGTCCACACCAGCCACTTTGCAAGGCTCCATGGTCACATGCAACTAGTGGTCAAGGCATATATTGGACACCACAAATAACAATGTTTCCATCATCGCAGAAAGTTCTATTGGACAGCCTAGGTCTACAACCAGCCCAGGTCTACAACCAGCCCATAAGAGAGAGCTCAGTGAGAGAGAAGCTGACATCATCTGAAAATGATTAGGCTAAATATAAAAACAACCTACATAATAATAGAACAGTGTCCACAAATCCTGCATGTGATCAATCAACTTCTGATGACTGATATATTAAATACCGTAAAATTTTCAATTTCAGAAAGAATTTCAGAAAGCTTTATGCATTTGGTGAACAATTCCCACTGCTACAATAATCAAATAACTTTATCAACATGTAAAAACTAAGAATTAAATGAAAAGATTGAAAGTACAACCAATACTTTATTTTATTCTTTGAAAAAAATATCTATTGAGTACCTAAGCACATAATATAATGTTTTAAAGATATACACACATATAGGCACAAAGAATATAATACCCAGTACCTGACCTCTAAAACCCTGAAATTTTGTAAGCCTGATGTAGTTTCAACATATTGAATAAATTCAATAAATGCATGACATCAAAACATTCACTGAGGCAGTAGGGTGTCTATAGATCTTGTTTCCTAAAATAAATTTTCAAAAGGAAAAACGTAAAACCAGATCATCGAAAATGGTTAAACATGAAGGATTGAATTTACATATTTATCTCTGCAACATACAAAAGTAACAGGAAAAATAGGAAAAGTATAAATCCGGAAGGACTAAAGAATGGGAGAAGAGACTAAAGCAGAACGGAAATGTCATGCCACTTTTTTCTAAGATGGAAAGCAGACTTAGCAGAGCAGAGAAAGCTGAAACCTAAGAGGGAGGGAAGGAGAAAAATCAATAGATTTGCATCATAGAAAGTAGGAAGATTCCAAACTTGGCGTACCACATGAGGCAGAAATGAGGTAACAGACTTAAAATAGGAAAATCAGAGAAACGTCTGTATAAACATCAGACAACTAACCTGCTGCTAATCCAGCAAGAAAGAGAGGTCCATTCTCTGAAGACACCCAAGGAACACTGACTCAAGGGCCAAGCACAGCAGGGGCACTCAGTGGGGAGGTTCAGGAGAAAGGTAAGCACAGTCACTGAAGACAACTACAGCACCCCTCTCCCTCTCAGCTCCAACCAAATTAAGTCTCTCCTGAATCTCTCTCTAGAGAAAGACCTACAAATACTGATGGTTCAATGGGAAATGGGGATGGGATGGGTCAGTGGTCAACAAAAATGGCAGCTCATTTTGAGATCCACATCACAAAGACCCTCATTGCCACATCACTGTTTTAATGCTTCACTCGTAAATATAAACTGTTAGCAGAGATCAATAAATACTTGAGCAAAGCCTCAATTATAAAATATAGGACCAGGGAGCTGAAGAAACAGTGCAGGTATTAAGGTGCTTGTTATACATAAGGCTGACCCTGGTTTTAATCCGCAGCACCACATATGGTCTCCCGAGCACCAAACCAGAAGTCCTGAGCACTGCCAAATTTGGCCAAAACCCCCAAGCGCCACCCAACAACAACCAAAAAAAAAGGTTGAGATTACACACACACACACACACACACACACACACACACACACACACACGTACGTCACAAGGAATTGAAAAAACAAAAATGTTGACGGCAGATAACTTCAAAGCAAAATTAGAATGGCTAGGATTTATTGGGAACTTGCAATGTGATAGGAACTTGCAAAATGTTTTACAATTTGATATTGGTACAAACATCCATATTTTTAGGTAAGAAAACAGATACAGAAAAGTAATTTAATCCAGGTACAGAGGAAAGAGGGAAGAGGACAAAAGGAAAGGAAAACAAAGATAAACTAAAGAAAGGGGAAAGGAAAAGGGGGGAAAGGAGGAATTTAAAAAAACTGAAAAGCAAAGCGTACAAGAGACTGAGAAAACAGCAGTGAATATTGCAACAACTCTGAAAACTAGAAGACAACAGAAAGTCTTCAAAATTCTATAAGAAAATCTTGCCATCCTAAAAATCTACATGTGGCTACAGCATAAAATAGAACAAGTGTCTCACAAATAAGGTCTTCACATTTTTTATTTCAGGCATAGACACAGTAAAGCAGATTAGAAACATGCCTTACACATGTCCAGTCTGAGTCCCTGGCACCCGATACAGTCTCCAAGCACCATCAGGAGTGATTCTTGACAGCAGAGCCAGGAGTAAGCCCTGAGCACTGTGATGGAGTGACCCAAAAACCAAAAAATAATAATTTTATTTTTCATGTACCCTTTTCTCAGAAAGTATGCTATATAAAATATAATAAGCCAAGAAAAAAGAAGTGCATGGGACTCAGAAATTACGATTTAAGAGTAAAGCAAGAGCCCCTTGATAGTAATTAACAGCAATCATAAGAAAATAGCTCTGAAGTGAGCCAGATAAAGGAACTATCCGAATTAAAGAAGGAAAAGGGGCTTTAAAAGTACTATCTCCAAAAAAATTGTAAAAATTTGTGTGATGCGTTTGATCTGTGAAATTTACAGTTCAGTCTAAGAGTTTAGGAAAGAGAAGTACGCAAATGAATTAATTATCCACAGCAAAAAACAAAACTCCACAAAGAATATATTTATAGTATACTGAGTCACTCAGTCAAAATCAGTGTTTACACTAGTTGTATTACAAGCTTTGAATATTAATTTAAAAATATGAGAACTACTGAGGATGGAGAAGGGAAATAGAAGTGTAAGAGGTGAATTTCATCACAAAATCATTTGATATATTAAAATTTTTAAATCAAATAGCAAAGCAAGTATCTTATTAAAATAATAAAACTAAATACCAGAGGGGAATAATAGCTAAAATAATCTCTTGCTATCAGGATGAAAGGAGAGAGACAGGAATGAAGATTTTGCTTTTCCCCAGTAAGCTTCTCCTACGTTGCTAGTGGTGAGGACTATTAACTGTGAGAAGTATTAACTGATCCAACTACTTAGAAACTGTTTGGTAAAACCTATTACTAAGCATATGTCTACCCAATCAGTCAACAGAACCACCACCAAAAACAAGCTACAAGAAAGTGAGGAATAGCCACTAACATACATGTATAAGCAATGCAGAACAGACTGATCAATAACAATCAAATACTGGGACCAACTCATATCTATTAATGTGAACTGAAAGTCCTAACCCCATGCCTATATAACATGTACCTATTACTACAGGGCTGGAGCGATAGCACAGCGGTAGGGCATTTGCCTTGCACGCAGCCAACATGGCCGACCCGAGTTCGATTCCTCCGCCCCTCTCGGAGAGCCCAGCAAGCTACCGAGAGTATCTCGCCCGCACGGCAGAGCCTGGCAAGCTCCCCATGACGTATTCGATATGCCAGACACAGTAACAACAAAGTCTCCAATGGAGACGTTACTGGGCCCGCTCGAGCAAATCGATGATCAACGGGAGGGCCTTTACTTACTTACTTACTTACTATTACTACTATGAGAAAGAAAAAAAGGATTATTTTTTGACTCTGAATTTTTAAAAATATCTTAATTGGGAATTTTTAGATCACAGAAATTCTAAAACCAGTCCAAGAAAATATTTTCTGTGATCCTCCAAGAA